GGAAGTAATCTTGAACAAAACTAATAATGAGTAAATCAATCGATATTTGACTTTACTTTCCATCATATCATAGAATTTTCAGTTTGAAACATATCCTAGTTAAATCACCAATAGAAATGTGGAAGCATTGAACTGAAATTTCAATTAAGTATAGGAATCTTCAACAGCACGCATCCACCCAAATATCAAATCTCTAAACCACTGATTCGACATCTGCTCGAGACCAAGGTTATCGAATTAGTAATTATAGAATAAATATCGATTGACATATCATTAATAAATACGAAATGTTAAAACATATTATACGTTATTATCAAAACAATTAGTTGATATTCCCTTACGAAACTACACTATTAGTTACTCATTTATCTCAATCACACTTAATTACAGTATTTATTGATGAAATATTTGACAGTTTAGTTCACAACTAAAGGAATAATATAAATAAGATAAATAATTACCTTTTATGAGTCAGTAACAGAATGAAATGATTACTTTTGTACACATAGTTCCCTTTATTATTTTAAAGAGAGCAAGAACAAAGATTGGTGCAGAATACTATGAATTCATTACTTTTGTGCTATTCAACTTTTTTTTATAAAGAAAAAAAAACAATAAAGATTTACTTAAGTTAGAAAAAATGGCCTAGTTCATTTATTTCTAGGTAAGTTGTTCATTTCAAAAAAGAGAAAGAAAAAAGAAGAGAAAAGAAATGGTCCATTATCGTTTAAGTTAAACTTTTATCACCTTGAAAATCAACTTTGCGCTTTACTAATTTTTAATAACGTTTACTAAATTGCCATCATTATTCATATTATTATTATTGTTATTATTATTATTAGTAGTAGTAGTAGTAGTAGTATGAGTAGTATGAGTAGTAGTATTTAGAACTTGACTAGATTTATGCATAAAATGAAATTGACGTTAATACAATTATAAATAACTTGGCCTAAAAGTTAAATGAAATGACCAAGTAAACAAATGAGTCAACAACATTGATTATTAAGAGTTTTTATTATTATTATTATTATTCTCAAATCTATGCATAAACTATATGCTTGAATAATTTAGCTTATTTAAATCTGTCAGGTCAAATGTCTATTTATTAATGAATTTAAAAGAATTAATAAGTTATAATACATAAAACTTAGAAATTAGTGTTAATGAATTAAATATATATAACTACTCATTTGTATAGATGCATTAAAAATAGTTTGTGTTTATAGTGAATTCTAAGAAGTTTTCAATTCAATTTGTATTTATAAAGTATATAAGTAGTATATAAAGTGAGTAGTTTGAATTAATCTTTTTGTGGTTAGCGACTTTTTTACGAGTTAGTTTTCTACGCGATGGGGTCGCTAACCCCATGCCCAACCCTCTTCCTTTATCCAGGCTTGGGACCGGTAGTGGCTCCAGAGAGGGGCTTCAAGCGGAGATCGTGTAATTTTCAGTCTCTCACGCAGATCCTAATCTCTAGAGCAGTCATAAATGCACTGTCCTTATGCCTACATTCGAAGCAACAAACTAACCACTAGACAGTAACCAATGTTGTTTTAAATCTTCGAATTCCATAAAACAATTTTAAACAGGATTGTACTTTAGTTGAATATATTTAAAAGTTGAACGTTGTAACAGTCCGTAGCCTAAAAGTACAATCGATCTTTTCTGAAAGCTACTCATGTAACAAACAGATTAGTTTTAGCATCTATGACTGAAGCATTAACTGATAGCGTTTCTAATCAGCACAAAAGTATCAGCTTCTTTGATTTCCTAAATGTGACTTTATAATGAGTGACAACGAAGGAAAAGTCTGAATATGTATTCAACCTAATAAACCATACGAAAATAGCCAAACTTATTTGAAATTAAGAATGAATAAAAGGGCATAAAATAATCATATACACGAAGTTCCTAAACACTCTTGACTGAAAATAATAACTTCATTTAGATTATACTACTTACTAGTAGTTTAGTGAATCTCAGTAAATATGGAGACATTTCGGATGGTTGCAGCATTAATTTCTAATATGAATAGTCTTTGGGACTCATAACACTGAACTAACAATAAAACATGTTTACATTAATTTGGTTAACGACTAAGTACTATACGAAGCACTAGAATATACTAAACGTGTAATTAGAATTCGGTTAGCATAAAACGATGTGTAATGCCCTAGAATCAAATCCCATCTGTAGGATTGTGTTTATTTCACTTCAAATACGCTCTAAAGTTGATTACCAATAAAACTACCTTCGCTCCTTGATCTCCTCGAACCGCCCTTATCTGCCAAAGATTTTCTTAATATGTTCAGTTTGAACTCGTTTTACTGTACTAAACGTTTAATCAATAACATACCACGAAAAAATAGTACTCAGTTACTAAACCAGGTTTTCTTTCAGTGGAACCGAGGACTCAACACACTATTATATTCTTGACTCAATGAGCGATTCCAACTCATGATATTTTGCGGTTATTCTGAAAAGCTCAGTTATGTTTTGTAGAAACTGCAAATCTCCAAATATAATATGCTGTTTATAGCCCAACTAATAAACTCGTTCTTAGATTTTTCAATTGACGATTGCTGGCATATTGTTGCGGTCTATAGTTTGGTTCAATCACTATTAACGAGTCTCATAGGCTTCGGTGGGTTGAATTATGGCAAGCACTTAAAAAGCTCAGTTGGGTCTGGTCAAATTTCCTTACTTGTGGCGTAAGAACGAACGAGCAAACTGAGCAACGGTTCCTCCAGATATACTCCATGGCCACGAAACGCAGGCGTTAAAAATGAAAAGCATTAGTAGGTCACTAGTCTGCGAACCATTATTTATGTTTTGTCACCATCAAGTGAGTAATTATAAGGTTATATGTAAAGTACTAGGAAAGGTAAACTAGTAGATTCAGGAATTAGAGAATAGTTATCAATTGAATTGCCTAGGAAATGTACTACGCATTCCATATGAACCCTTAGACGAGACGCATCCTGGTGTATTAGTGAGTTAGAAGAAAGTATACACCTCACTGGCCTTAGGCCTATTACACACCATGATATTAAAATTACGTTATACCTTTCTGTCTTCACAATCTTTCTTTTATATATTACTACTACTATCTTTTTGTGCTAATGAGGAATGGCAACTTGGCGGATGAATAGATGTGCCTGGTCCTACGTTGTAGCTGACTGACTAACATTATCCTCTTGCACTAAAACTAATGAATTGCACTAATTTGGGTGAATTTACAACTCCGCTTTCTTATTTTGCACTAAGTGACTTGACAGAATTTTACGTAGATACCATTGAAACACTGGAATACACTAATTCACTTGATGACTACAACCGGTAAGTAGTTTTGCTTGAATCAAATACTAACAAATGTGTTTATATGAAATAAATTGTTGATGTTTATACTATTTTCTTTTGATACATCCAAGCACTACCCCATCGCGATTTCACAGCCAATGTCATGTCCATAGCTTTCTACATGCATCGATAGAATCGACGCTATGTTATGGCGTCAAACAGCCAGCTAGCACTCACATAGACGTAAATGAAGATGGCAACCACTTTGTCTCACTTAGCACTTCTCCTCTTATCTCGTAGACCATGTTTTGCCTGTCTTCTTTTATTGTTTATTATATGGCTTGTACATTATTAATTGTAAAGATTTTATAAGCTTGTGGGCTATACCTATTCCTAAAAATGCTTGTGACCTGAGAGATATTCTTCACATAAAGTAGATTTATCGACTTTCTAACTTTCGGTATTGATCTTGTACTTCGTTTTCATTTTAACAGACATTTCCCGATTAAGCCATGGGGATAAACACTTTTCTAAAATAATTCATTACATATTTTCGTTTATTGAGTGTTGCAATATGTATCCAATCTACTGAAACGGTTTATGCAGTATATTTTGTGTCTGATTCGATGGGACAAGATGACATTATTCAAGTCAATATTTTTTGTATTAATTCAACATGAATTTAGGTCGGGGTGAAGGTGAAAAATTCGTTCAGTCTGACATTTTGAAGTCAATATTTCCTGATATAGATTTAGGATAAACTTTGTTCTACATGGAAAGTGTGAACTCTCGTTCACTGTAACCAGTTTATTCCATGTTAATTCAGGTGAGTTACATTTATTGCGTGCATTTTTACAGTAACAGTACGTATCCCCCTATGTGATACTACAAAGTGTGTGTGAAGTTTGGTACATAAATGATTATATTATGGCCTAATAATGATTAGGTACTTGTTTGGTGATGTTTGAGGGGCGTCAATCAATCGTCAATGCGTTGGAGATGTTCGATCTTCAGAAATCACTTGGTAAACCCGTTTTTGAAATTTCATTATGCACATGTAAACTTAACATGTTCGTGCCAAAAAAACCCACTTCTACCTCCAGTTTTGTATTTCCAACCCGGAAGGACCTTAAATGTTGTTGGCTCATTAGTGTGCTGTTTTAAGACGTTTGCAAAGGATGTTTCTGTATTGTATATATATATACGAATGGGGTGCGTGCTAGTTCGTTCGTGCTTACAGCCGTTTGTGGAATAAATATTTTTCCAGGCTGAATCTCGTCTTCTTCCTCTATTTAGCAGAACTGGGGTGTAGTGGAATAGCTTGGCTTGTCTTGTCGTGTTGCTGACTTTCGTCCCATTCGCCGGTTCTAGCTGATTTCGTAACAACAGAGTTAGTTATTGGGTTGGCCAATATGGACAGAAGCTTCACGACTGAACTATCAACCGTGAAAGACACAACGACAGCTTAAAAATCATTCTTCTAAATTACAAACTCATTCGTGTACAATACAAGATACTGTCATAACGTTCCCAATTCTACACAATATGAAGTACGAAATTGGGATTAAATAAATGAATCATGTAATTATTTCACACACCCTCTCCTCTTTTTCTCGAATCGCAGCAACCCAAAAAGAATGTTACACGACTTCAGTCTTGAAACACATAGGTAGGATAAAATAAATCAAAAACTAAGTCCATGTAATACACATAATGGAATTAACAATGACAATGTTCAATTACACTGAAATTAGTTTAGTAACTTGTATATTTCATTAAAATTCTTGTTCTGCTTCCAGCGTTCTTGATGCCGCCAACTGACGAAAACGTTCAATAACATGTTCAACAGGATGCTCACCATGAACTTTGTTATCCCGTGTACGAACATTGACAGTTCCATTAGTAATTTCTTTTTCACCAACCACTATTATGAAGCGGAAAAATGAAAATGAATCATAGCAAAAATGAATAAACGAAAAGAAAGAACTTTCAACTCATTTAAATAGCCTATCTTATCCTATCATTTATGGACGAATCAATCAGATAACTAGTCATGGATTTTGGCACGAAACCGATTCATTCATCCATATGGGTAAATATCATTTTAGTATTATAGTTTATAGCAGCTCGTGACAAACACCATAGCTCTAACTCGTAACCCTAAGTTTTGACTTAAACCTCAAATCCTGATTCCTTACAAGCTAATTTATGACTTCATTTAGACCGCAGTAAGTGGTTTCTTGAGGTCATTTTAATATTGCTCAAAGATCACCCATGAATTACAGTTTCACTCGATAAATTATAAAACTAAATGTTTACACGTACTTAATACTCGACAGAAAAGCCTGAAAACTAGCGTATATTCTAATCAAACGAGGGAGAGTAATTACGCCTTCCTGAAGAGTATAAAACAGCACAAAAAGTAGGTTCAGGGCTTGTTTTTTACTACCTCCAATCACATCAACACCAAAAATATCTTCGACGTACCGTTCTCTTGTTATGAAACTAACTACGAATTCCAGATGAGATTTAGGCACAGATTTCTATGGTAATAAACTGATCAATTTGATTGAACTAATGAACATTCATCACACACATGCAAGTATGCAAACTTGTAACGGAGCATTTCATAGAGAGATTCAATATTATTACAGTGCTACTTTTAAAAGAAAACTTCTACATCATAAAGTAGATGCTAAAAAAATTTCAGAAGGGCAATAAAAGATCTTCACAATCAAACCATCATTTAATTTAGAGAACAGAACACAGAACCCCTAAAAACTCAACAATGAAATTAGTAACACTAGTGTTGCAAAGAGTAATATCCTATCCAAATTTCAGTATACAAAACTTTGAAGAAGGATATAAGACAGAATTCAGTGAAGGAAATTTTCTTTTCTATAATTTCATTAAACTATCCAATAGTATTCATAATTAATAGTCTATAGGAAGACAGGAGAGTGTTGTTTGATTTTTGTAAACATTAAAGCAGTATCGTGCTATAAACTGTTTCTATTGAAGATTTCAACATTTTACCAGTAGAATGTGTGTCCACAGTTGTCCAAACACGAAGATAAACCATTTCAACTTTTTCCTAAAAACTATTCAACACCATTCTACTTTACCGTAGACTACTATTTTTACCAAAGAATTACGAGTGTACAGTTCAAGCAAATGAAATCGTCGAAAAGAAAATCTTCACTGAATTTTCTTTATATATCCTTATTCAATGAAATAATGGGTCATTTTTGTCATACACAAGACTTTACTCTTTACAAGAAGGAAATATACACTAATCAAAAATGATTAATACTTACCTAGAATAAAATTATTTTGAAGCAACTGTCCATTTCTAATTTTTTTATTTAAAGTACGACCAGGATCTGTGTCAACGGAAACCATAAAGCCGGCATCATGTAAACGATTTGTTACATCTATCGCGTATTCATCACATGCTGAAACAACAGGGATTACTAAAGCTTGACGGGGGCTAAGCCAAAATGGCCATTTCCCTGGGACAGTACAAGAGAAAAAAATATGCAAAATGAATAAAATATAGGTGAATCATATATAAAATAAATTATAACAGAATATCCTGTTTTTCCCTATGATATGATATATACACATACAATATTGGGACGGATGGAAGTTCAAAGAAAGCGTAACTTTTGGGGCTATTTTATTTTACGGGTTACTAGGACCTAGGTACATCCAGCTGAGGAGTCTCAAACAGAATAAAACCCGCTTCCTCAGTTCCACCGCTAGCCACTATCCATCCCTGCTTACAATGCTTGTGGCTTGATGGCACTATCGAGGCAATCGGCATAGGATCCATATATTCCAAAAGAGACTGATCAATTAGTGTTAAACATCAATGGGTAAATCCAAACAACTAATATATATTTATCATTTAGATTGGTATTGTATAATCATTAGAGAACTGAATTATTGTGCGTCTGTATTCTACTTATTGTAAGCTTCCAGTGGATCTATAAATTACTGCTGTACAAGTTTTATTATTCTTTAAATATGGCTAATCAAACATACGTAATTCTCCTCCATTTACTTGCACATTTGGCGTAGTTATACTAACTTTGTAATTTCATAGTCATATCGATGTGCAACCCAGAAAATTAATCCATATTATTGTATTCGTTGATTCATAAAAGATATACTACTGCACCATCTGTTTTCGGAGTTGCATCATCGGATTGAAGACTAAGAATAGTAAAATGTATATGTTTATATCGGTGGACCAGTGATGATCGAAATTATTTTGTTGATCCTGAAGGTTAATCGTGCAAGCCTAGTTATCCTAATGGTTAAATTGAGCAATAAGTCGATAGGCGAACTAGGATTCGCGAATTAGGAAAGAAGAAATCCGGGATTTCGATTAGTAATTTTTTTCCGAACTGTCGATTTAAAAAATGTAGGCTAACGAGGAGCTATAAAATAGATAACCCGTAATGAACTGAAAACTATTCCTTCGTCTTCATACACTTATATATACATATATACAAATATTACCTCCATAAGATTCTGTGAGAATCGCTATAATTCGCTCGACTGAACCCAAAATAGCTCTATGAATAATGACAGGTCGGTGAATGTTTAAGTCAGTTTGATGATTGGTTGCTTCATGATGGTCAGATATACCATTTGTTGTGTTCGATACATTATTATAATTATTATCACTCCCAGAAGGATTATCAGTTTCACTGATAAAGAAAAAACAACATGTACAGATGAAAAGTTATTAGGATATAATATGAGTAAATATGTATATAAAATAGATAGAAACGAAAAGGCTACCTACAGCAAACTCTTACACAACTACTAAGTTAGATTATCGAAGAATTCAACTATGTTTGTTTTTTTCCTCACAACGCTCATATCTTTAGCTCATGTAACCGTTCGGAATAAAAACCTGAGGTGAGAATCGATTTGGAAACAATATTATTCTATTGGTTTAAGAATAATTATTTCAGTAGTAGTGGAGTGACCGAGGAATCGGTGGAGACAATCAATTCATTGATTAGTGCGAAATCACAAAGCGCTTTCGTAAAGCATTAAAATCGTGCAATAAATACATGATTTGCAAATTTTCCTTCGGTTGTCCTTTACACGATTATTTCAATCCTGTTGTTATTACAATTACTCTGTCTTCCTTTCTGTTCTCTTCAATTCGATCTTCTCAATCCTCTGCTGACAGGCATTCCACTTCCGAATGCTGCTGCTACATATTGCTTATATTTTTCGATATAAGTAGCATACACTACACTCGTCTTCCCTTTTAAAAAATAGATTTGATCCAGAAAATAAACTATACAGTTAAGAATATGGGTACAATGCATGCATTATAAGCATATCGTATGTATATTGAGAATTTAAATTTAGATCTACAGCCCTATTTTCAAAGAGTAAAATTATATAGTAACGGGATACTGTACACGCACGACAGATACACTCTAGAGGATAACAGCAGGAACAAAGAATATGTACAACAAGAGCAGATGAATTTAAAATCTCACAAATATTTAAATCAACGATGAGAAATCAATGGAAGAGTGAATAATACACAAAGAATTTGATAGCAAGTAACAGTTAAATTCGAGAAACACAAAAGACTTGACAAATATATTCTATACTACGTTGAAATAAATAAATATAAATATCTCAGTCCTATAAGAAGTCAACAAGAATTTGAAGAGTACAGTTGTAACATCTCAGACTATGATACTGTATATGCATTAATGAAGAATGTCAGGACCTATAAGATTAGAGATACGTTTGTTAACAAATATCCACTAACACAAAACAGATTTAAGATTTGCTGTCAATGTAATTTCAACTACCTTAACTTAATAACAACAACTAAAAAGAAAAGCTTGACAAAAGCATTAGTTACATTGACATCGATAGAAATTTAAGGTCAAATAATGATTTAAAAATTATTCCAATGAAGTATAAGAGGATATATTAGAATTTAAGTATTAATTTCTAGCGTGATCTTATGTGAGTGACTAAAACTGAATTAAGCAAAATGCGATTGTTGAAAACTGTTAATACCCAGTTGAAAGTTAAGCTCATTAACTAATGATTCGGTATTCTTTATAATCACTACGTCATTGAGACATTAGATGAAGTGCAGTGAATGAAACAATTTCAGATCACCTATTCCATTATGTTACTTATAGTAGACGTGTTTATATTGTTAAATGATTGATAAAACGATTAAGCCTATTAAAGTTTCCAATTAGCCTACGATAAATTCTTATCTGTGAACGATTTTAAGATTTTTCTGGTATAACGCAACAAAAAAAATCAAATAGACCGAACATTTGACACGCAATAATAAAAATAACACTGTGGTAATTCAATATAACTAGAGCGGACGGGATAACTTTAAATTCCGTACAGATGTTGAACGATGAGAAAAGAATAACTCTTGTTCTATAGTAACATGCAATGACTTTCAGGCATATGACGAACCAAACCTTAAAAATGCGACAACAACCAATGAGATGATAACAGCAAAGATCATTACAGAAGTATGACATAGCAAAATGTCATAGAGATTATTTCTCTGAAGAACTGACACGTAATAACAAAGAGAAAAGCTGGATAACTTGAGTTGTCCTTAGCATATGTGCTTGTTGGGGAGAAAAGTTCATCGAGAAAGTCCAGAGGGACACTTAAAGCGCTGTAAAGCATCTTATCCAATCAGTGTTTAAGAGATATTCGTCAAAAACATATGGTAAGTGAAGAGTCATGTGTCACATTTCTGACTGGAAAATTACCAATGCTGCGACTATATTTAGTACGATTCCAGAATCTCCCAGAAGCCCAGAGCTATCTGAAACACTATGAATATCCTCGACTTTCTCTACATGAACTAATCTTGGAGTAAAGCGTTCTTCTCACATTCCGAGCCTTTACTCTAGCGCTCAATTTGCCGTGTAGACTGATAATGGTTATTAGAAGTGTCAAGGAAACTGATTTGAGCTTTCATTTAAGAAGACATATTAGTCCCATAAAATTGAGACATTTATACTGAGAAAAATCCAGCTACGTATAGAACTTATTTGATCAACAATTATTCTTCATCATTCGTTTCTATGACACACGTACCTAATTCCGAATGATAATAACATGCACAAGTGTAGCTAGAGATATCAGGTCGTTTGTGATCTCTCTTATCTTTGCATTAAAAGAAAACACGACACAGTTACACCGTCATCTTTAGATATTTGATATATGCATAACAATTGTAGATAATATGATGTAATGATTTGAACTGTTGCACATATGTACCACGCTCTATGTTGCCGAATGACTAACTGAATGAATAATACAATAAAATCACTAACTGTATCTACACCCAAATAATTGCTAAAACTGAAATCATGATGAGAAAAACTGACTCATTATTGATAGAAGATAGATAAGGCATATATCGCATAAGCAAGATTAAATCTGATTGGTAATTGAAAATCTAATTGATTTGAACTGTTGCACATACGTACCAGGTTCTGTTGCCGAATTACTAACTGAATGAATATTACAATAAAATCACTAACTATATCTACATACAAATAGTTGCTAAGACTGATTCATAATTGATTTAAAAATAGATAAAGCATACCTGGCATAAGAAAGATTAAATCTGACTGGTAATTGAAAATCTAATTGTATTGTTGCACATTGATGCCGACGACGTAAAGCATCCATTATGGTTATGTCGATTTTGGGTCCATAGAATGCACCATCACCAGGATTAAGCTCCCATTTCAGACCAACTTCATCTAAACTTTCTTTTAGTTGCTAACATATAGTTAGACAAGCAAGCAAGCAAACAAAAAAGAACTAATATATGCACGCACTTCATGGATTAAGGATATATATATATATATATACTCTCGGTTATTGGTGTTAATATCTGCAACTGTTCAGACTCTTGTCATATGTGCATATTGCGCGGATTACCTTGAAACTGTCATTAACTCACAAGTATTTTAGGCAGAGCTGGACAGTAGTTAGCAATGGAATCCAGGAAACGCATACTATCACAGTTGGGATTCGTCATCTGGAAGTACCTGCATCCAAGTATATTATTCAACCCGGGACTCAAACCCACTGCCCTTCGCCTTAGACACCAATGCCATATCCATTCACCAACTGATTCCAACAACCAGAAGATCTAAACCCTTACTACTGAATGATGATTTATTCCCGTTGAACAAACCAATAGCTATTTAGACTAAGTGAGAAAATGGATAGAAAATAAGTTGGTGTTTAAAGTGAAATGTATTAAGTTTGAGTCCCTCAATGAATATCAACACTTGGATGTGAAAATTACATCCAGCTGATGAGTCCCGAATGCGACGAAATGTGTGTCCTGCATTAAAGTTGTAGCAACTATCCAATTCTGCTTCAAAACACTTACACATACATTATTTTGATTGAGAAAGTATATACGGCCTTTGGAATTGATGCTAGTGTCAGAAACACATAAAGTAGATAGAATTATCTTTTTTTTCTGATAAATTGTAACGACACAAAATGACTGACAGTCAAGTAATTCGACTGAATAACCTTTAGATAATACAGCGATTATGAATTTGAATTTTACGCTACTGTTGATCCGTTGTTTAAACTAATCAATCTGTTGTTCGAAATAATCTAAAGATTAATGAATGCTGTGGAAATTTAATAATTTTTCAACTAGAAATTATTATAATGAATATATTTAGGCATAGGGTAGTGAGTATATGAACATTTAATTCTTTACTTTATTTAAGGAATACTTCTGGGGAACATACTGTATATATTCTTAAAATTCATATTGACAATATCAAAAACGGTTGAAAATAAGTTTTATCCAATTGGGAAGGAAAGCTATCGACAGGGAAAAATTACTCACATCTATGTGTATGAATGTTTCGATAATGAACTTTGAATGCAGTCGATAAAATAGTGAACTGTTACTGTAAACAATCAACTCGATAGTGTGGATCTATGATTATTCCAACATAAACTACTACTAACGCGTGATGGTAGTTAGTGTAGGAGTAGACTGGAAGAATGCTAGGAGCAGCAAAACAAAAGTGTGGCATCAGTATATTTTCATTGCAGTCACTGTTAATTTCATTGAGCCATATTTATAGGTGTTGACTACTTGGTTGGTGCAGATGAATTTATTTCTTGTCTTTCTTTAGAACCTGAGTCCCGAAGATTATTTTTACGATTCTATTATATTTTTTATAAATAAACTTTTCTACTACTACTGATGCTGTTACTACATCTACTACTGTGAAATTTGTCTTGAAACAATTTTATCTCGCTGTTATAGCATGGTATGACAACTTGGATCGATGTACATGTGTGCCAGGTTCTATGTGGTGCATGACTGACTGACTAACGTGTATAAGACTTAGATACAATTGTTCAGGAATCTTGCAGAATTCAGACAACATCTAAAATCAAGTTGTGAATCATAAAGAAACAAGGACATAATGCAACACAAAAATCACTTGTCTTAAAGCCCTCTTCTTTCATTATAATGGAATCACTGAAAAATTAACTTATTTTGTATACACTGGATATAAAACGCTGGAAAACAATACCTTTTCAGCACGATCCCACATTTCAATTTCACCCATGAATTTCTCTGGACGAGTAGATAAGTATAATTCAAACGAGAAACCAAATAAACCGTACACATGACCCAAAAAATCCAAACAACTCTTGATTTCATCTTTAATCTTGAAAAAAAATCAAAGAAGAAGAAAATAGTCGTTGCGATTGTCATCAACTTGTTTAAATTTCCACAGATTTTGAATCACGAACTGGTCTTAGCTGGACAACTAGTGAAAATCTAAAAACACCGGATGGCCGTTTTGTCCCACTATGAAACTCATCAGCAGTGCGCATCCACGACCCAGAACCTTGAAACCAAAACCAGGACATTTCATATTGAGCGCAAACCAACTGTATGAAAATCAGTAATGTTTCAAGATTTACAAAGTAATATAACACTCGAGTACCTCAATCTAAAATGCGAAATCATTAATCCTAACACGGCATTCTCCTCGGCAAAACATAAAACAAATTGAAAAATGCAGTCTTACTGTACATATTTTTATTATAACATTAAATATCATCTAAACTATAAAAAATTTAGACTTGCTGATGAGTTACAAATATAGTGGAATCTATGTCTTGCCGGATCATATTATCAAAATACCGTTTTCGGCGCAAGAAAAAGATATTTGTAAACGTTGTTCATACATAAGTGAAGTAGTAGCTCAGGTTATCAGAAAGCGTTATTCAACTTTCAGCTATTGATTTCCTGGTTCGAAACCCGCTCACTCAGCTCCGGTTTATAAAACTGCGTAGTACCACTTACCCTCATAGTTAGCATATGGCTCGAAGTCAAATACATGAAACTGAGTACAACAAATGAGTAGGCTTTACAATTCATATGACAAGAGTCTATTTTAAAAAAAGGTTCAAATATTGTATTTACATATAAGTAATATGAATAATTCCAAAAGGATTCGTTACCTGATCTTCACGACAAAATATATGCGCATCATCCTGTTGAAAACGACGAACACGAGTAAGACCAGATAAAGCACCTGAGAATTCATTTCTGTGTAATACACCAAAATCAGCAAAACGCAATGGTAATTCTTTATGTGAACGAATCTCTTTCGCGTACATTAAACAATGACCAGGACAATTCATAGGTTTTAAACCAAATATTTGCTTCTCAACTTCAATTTTAAATAAATTTTCCTAAACATTAAAATAAATGAATGGAATAGTAATAAATTTAATAGACATGAAATGTATGCTTCTTTTTAAAAAAGAAATTGAACTATAAAAATAACGTTATACAAAAAATGTACACTGATATAGAGAACAAAAAACAACAATAAAAAACTTACACTATAATGTTGCCAATGTCCACTTTGTTCCCATAATGCAGAATTATAAATATTTGGAGTGATTACTTCTTGAAAACCACGTTTCCAATATTCAGAACGAATAAATGAAACTAATGTATTATAGATATGTGCACCAGCAGGCAAGAAAAAACAACTACCAGGAGATAATTCATGAAAGAAAAACAATTTTTGTTCAACTCCAAGTTTACGATGATCACGTTTAGCTGCTTCTTCCTAAAGTAGACAAAAGAATAATCACAGAAAATATAGTCTATAACTTCAACTAATAACTATGATAACTGATAACGTAAGACTATGTACTATGTCCTTATATGCAATATTTCTTTTATATATTGTCACTACTGAATTAACTACTTCTATGAATCCGATGTTCATCTTGTTGTGCTAATGAGGTATGGCAACTTGGACTGATGCACATATGTGCCTGGACCTACGTTGTAGCTAACTAACTGACTGAGCAGGTACGAATGTATCCTGGTCCAACCCACAGTAAGTACTACATCTCATATCAGCAGAGATAAAGAAAACTAACACAAGAATGAACAAGGAGAAAAAAGACGAGATAATATCAACTGTAACGTAATGTTAGACATGAAATATGGCCCAAAATAAACAAATGATATCAAAGAACCAAAATACAGAATGACACTTCATAATGTTGAGAGAGAGCATCTTCCCTACTAACAGATTTTAAAATATGTTAGTCAATAGCTCCAATCAATCGATCAATTATGGACTAGATATTATACAAAGGATTCTAACTAGAAAGTCTATACTTACTGATCTAACTCAATCTAATAGTTAATTATTGCAGGTGCTGAGGATACAGTTTAGTCTTATCACTCCTATCTTCCCTTTTAACCTAATCTTGCGACAGCCATCGTTGCACGTTAATGTAGATACTAGTTAAGTATGCATAACACATGTCTTAACTACCTAAGTCGATGAAAATTTATGGCCACAACGATTTGACTTATCAGCATATTATTGGATGAACAATGAAAGAAAAGACTAACTAGTAGTTATTAAATAATGAGAGTTTAACAGACTAGATTCTTGAATTAATGGTCTAGAATGCGATCAATAGTCTTCAACGGTCAGTTATATAGAGTCCATTAGTTTTAATCTTATGTATAAAAAACGTCTTAAATTGAATGTTCTAGTTAGAATAAAAATAAAACATTCGATAGTAAGGAGTACTTAAAATGTAAAACACTTTAATTCGAATTTCATAGAATGATTATTCGAAATAATTCCTATTTTATAATGACTAAGAACAACCATGAATTATTTATGTCACACAACATCCATTCTTTCGCTATATCTGATGTTTATTCTAACTAATTGAATTGAATCATGCTGATATGGTTCGCTTACACTGAATAACTCGCGACTAACTAAGAAGTAAAACAGAGCATGTTGGCTAAGTATAATATGACATTCAATTTATTCCACAAAATCGATGTTAATGATGGGAATGTTATACCGTTGCACAGGTCCTTAAAATAGTCAACATCGTCTTGATTCTTTAGGTAAGCTCTTAATATTAGTTTGAATTTTAACACTAGTGTGAAGATTTAAAGCCCTTTAATAAAGTATATGTTACGTATGCACAACCACTGCCGACATCTACGAGATGCTTGATAGTGTAGTAGACTGATGAAAAACTGATATGGAGAGTCATTCAGAAGTAGCGTAATGAAAACGCTAATAGTTGGCAATCAGAAATCCATGATTATAAATAAAAAATGAATTCATGATTTAATTAAAGCTAGACCATCATGGAAAACCTGGAAGAACTGGACAGCCGTTTCATTCTAGTGCGGGACTCCTCAGTAGTGGGTATCCACGATCCCACTCGCAAGATGCGAACCCAGGACCTGTTGATCTCGCGCGCAAACACTTAACTTCTAGACCATTGAGCCGCTATCCAACGGTGTTAAAGTCTGACTTCAATCAATCCACGAAATCGCGCCAACGTCCACCATTGTCTTCAGTGAGTTACTATCTCACAACAAACCCAGTTAAACTTCACTGAGGTTAAGCATTCGCGTGCCAGATCGACAGGTCCTGTGTTCAAATCCCGTGAGTGGGATCGTGGATGCGCACTGCTGAGAAGTACCGTACTAGGATGAAACGACTGTCCAATGCTTCGGGTTTTCCATTATGATTTAGCTTTAATTGACTTATGAATTCAGCTATTAATTTACTAAAATCTCCACTAAACCTCCTTTTGATAAGAAAAGTTTACTATAAAAACAAAATTAATTTAGATTATTATCAGTTTACCTGAATGTGTTTCCATTCTTTCAAACGTTTTGGATCTGGAAATGAAACACCATAGACACGTTGTAAAGTTTCCGCGTCCGTGCGACCCTCCCAATAAGAGGAACTACATTTGGTGACTGATAGAGCCTTTATACAACCTAGAAAAATCAATAGAAAACTTATGATTGCATAAAATGTAAGTGTAATATGTATATAGGGATATGTTGGAATTGTAGAATGTTGATAGATTGAATCACTAGTTGATTTTAGTTAGACCACCAAATATGGCATCATGAAGTTCTATTGAGAAGTCGTGACCAATGAAGTTCAACCGTTTTGGGTGTGAGAAGGTTATCCACCACAGGTTATGGATGAGATTTGTGCAATACCGTGAATTGATTGAAATTAGACATGCAGAAGTTAAACGTTTGTGTGCAAGACCGAAGATACTGCTTTCAAATCCAGGATGCGAGGTCGTTGATGCACAGTGCTGTGGAGTCACATCTTAGGACGAAATGGACGAAACCGACATGCAGTGCTTCCAAGTTTTTAATGATGGTCTAGCTTACACCAATTCGTAATTGGAACTGTGAAAATTTATATATTAATCACATGTATAAACTAAGTCACCTATTATTCATTGAGTAATCATGAATAACTGCCACTTTAATCCACATCTATTTGTCTTCATTTCTGCCGAACTAGATATTTATACCCATCCGAAAAACTTCCATACTTCGACTTTTGATATACCACTCTTCTAAACATGTAAAGTCGACGGAATACATGCGAAGTTAAGTAAGATCTATATTTCATTGGCATTATTACTATTAATCGGTCATATGGGAGTCAATGGTGGGCACCAAACTATACTACTTCCTGAAGAAAAAAACGCTAACATTTCCATAAAATATAATCTCGAAAGTCACTGATTTCACTCTCTCTGAATAATACTTAGTTATTGTGCTTTATCAAATACCAGCTTAGAATATCACACCTAGTAAATTTTCTCACAATACAATTATGTATCAAACCTTACCACATTTTTTAGCAGAAAAAACGGTCATGATCTATATGCCAGAACATCTTCATCAACAATGATACTCATCTATGATAATTTTAACAATACCATAGTCCGTATTGAAACGAAGCGAGTATTGGAGAAGCTGGAACTTTTGGGACTAACTTATGAAGAAATATTGTTTATATTTCCATAATAAAATTCTCAGATAATTGGATTGATACGTGGTAGTGAAAGTGAAGCATGATCAATCACTGAGCATGGACAAACAGTCGCTTAGCCTACTGACTATTAAACATGTGATTTCACTTCCTGTCAATGATTTTTACTCCTGACTCACTGAGCGTGACTGCTTGTAATTGTATTGAATTAAGTATTATCTAGTGTTAATCTGTTTCACGTTTCTCTGTTGTAAATTCTAGTTCTGATATAGCGCGACTAATCTTATTATTGTTTTAATTAATGTATTATGGAATTATACGTAAAAGAAATATATTTAGACAAACCGTTAACACTAGATTATTATATTCTAATATTCTAGTGAACCTACTATTGTTAGATGTTTTACTATTTCTTAATTATTGTTAATCAATTGTGTCCCATTTGGTCCGTTCTCTGTCGCCTACGGCATAATTGCTTGTAAAGTATGATTTCGGGGTGTCTTGAGTTTTGATAATGGGGGTTTGACATAAATTAGGTGCCCGGAATATCGTAATAGAAGCTTTTCTGCTGTATTCACTTTTTCAGACTGAGGTTTGAAGACAGAAGACATACATATTGGGAGACCAAAAGGAGTTAAGATAAACTCAGTATCAGACTTAAGGATCATCGTGATAGGTCAAAGCGTGTAATTGGTAAAGTCGGGACGTTAAGCTGCATGGAAATCTGTAGAACTCTAATTGGCGAGTTCTATCGCAGTCATAACAGTTCGAGTGTCAAATATACTCCAGAAAAATCCACAGTAATATAAATGTATACAAAGTAAACGATGAATAGTTTCCCTAAGATATTCATTAATCATAAACTTGGATGATTATTTTCAAAAAAATAAGAACAAACCTGTATGTCTAACATGTGGTCCACGGCAGAGATCGATAAGAGGACCACATCGATAAACTGTAGTAGTTGGTGTATCTATCTTATCGCGAATTATCCGACATTTGAATTCATTGTAGGCAAACATTTTCAATAAATCTTCTTTTTTCATTTCTAAACGTTCAAATGGTTGATTTTCTTTACAAATACTATGACACACATTTTCCACAACAGAGAGATCTTCTGGACCGAGACCAGAGTGTTGTCTAAAAGGAAGTATTAAAATAAAAATGTAAATTATATATGAACTTTCGAATCGTTTTATTTAGGGAATGAATTATATAAAAAACATGTGTTCATATATATATCAACTTATTTAATTCACAGTACTACATACATTCATGCTCAAACATTTCTTCAACACTTCTTAATATAGTCTCACAAAAACAATCAAAATTGACAAAGTGAGTAATTTTTGATTTACAGAAATATTTGTAAACTTACTGATTAGGGACCCACATATCATAATAAAATCCTTCCTCAACAGGTGGTCCATAGCATAAATGTCCACTATAGCAACGTTCTAAGGCTTCACCGAGAACATGGGCAGATGAATGCCAAAATACATATTGACCTTAAAATAAATGATAAATAAATTTGAAAAACCAAGTATTACCGCTGTTGTTTTAGAGATTGTTGAGTTTGAAATTTCATAGTACAGACAGACTTTAGATAGAGAAAAATTACAAGCAAGGAAGCACTGGACAGTTAATTCATCGTAACGCGAGACTCATTAACGGTGCACATCCACGAATCAACAAGCCATTGAACATAGGACCTGTGGATACTAAATCAGTGGTATGAAGTTTAAGCGCTTATTGTAAGTCTTAAAAGTATTAAGTTTAATCCTTGGTAAGATCCTGAACGTACATTGTTGAAGAGTCCCATGCTAAGATGAGACAGATGTTGTTCAGTATTTTTTTTATTTTCAATGGCTCTCTAATCAAATTCACTCAGTGATGCGAAACTGTGAAAGTCTACGATTCCAGTAAAATTTTTCAAGACTGCCATTCGACATTTTTGGAATTGACTAATTGGTTTAAATTTACAAAACAACACTACTTGTACATAAAATCAGCATTTTAAACCGAATGAGGAATTTAACTTGAGCCCAAAATTTATTTCATCTTTTTTTTCACCCAAAACGTACTAACCAGGCCCAAAAGATAATATTCATAATGATCAGTAACAATCATATGACTAAATTTTAAGTCTAATATAGCAAAATAGAAATTCATCACAATTTTATGAACAATATCCTGAATCACATAATTAATATGAGCTAATTATCCTACTTTACTCGTTAAATGTGTAGATGGAACAGGATATGAACCCATGAAAGTTGAGCACTTTCATCGATAAGTTACGATTCGATGATTATTTTCATCCTTATAGACGAGTTAATTTCGCGTGATATGACTGCACAAAATCTAGAGCTAAACAAGATAAACATTGTGAAATTATAGAATACACCTTAATGTTTGTCAAACTTTAAGGCCGATTAGTCTGTCGATAATGAGTCAATTTATTATATGAACAATAGATGAAATCCTAGAAACATTTTTTCCGAGATTACTAATGAATTTAGATAACCGAAAATTGGAGTACAAGTAATAAGAATGTTGTATAATATGCCTTGAATTCAGTCCAGTGGTATTTGATACTCTCAGTAGTAGTAACAATTGACCGTAATTTTGCGAAAAATATAGATCAGTATGGTATTTTTTATAAACAGCATTAAAATCCAAGTGACGACAAAATAGCATTAGAATGAAGTATACGTTATATGACAACCGTAATATACCAACTAACAATAAACGAAATGAAAATCAACACAAAACAAAATTATTCATGTTCTATGGAAGAACTGAAACTTTTCCAGAAAATTAAGCAGAAAACAACCTACCATCTTTGTGATCAAAATTGTAAATCTCAAGGCTAGAACTCTTTTCAAAAGGGCGTAATAAATCCCATAATTCTCCATTGACTTTAGCGATTACAGCATGTTCAGCCAAAGTTTTACTAAAAACGAAATAAATTTATAACTGATAGTGTAAAAACAGATAAATATTACCAACATAGATTCTGTCCCAAACAACGTGTCAGCTCAAATCCCCATACCATATTAAAACAAGATGAGATGAGATCAACAAAACAGATAGTAATGATGTAATAGAAATGATAAAAAGAATCTCTAAACCTTGGAGACATGTTCTGAAAAGAGCATGTTGTGAAGAAGTACTGGGATTCGAGATTGATAGAAGGATAAAGATTGTATACACTACTTAAGAGTGACTGATTCTGAACCATATCACACGAAGTCTCCAACTACTGAAAATAGTTATTACGTGGACGCCAAGCAGGTATTGTGCAATTACTAACATGACTCATACCAATAGAAGTTAGTGACTGGATGAGCTAATGCCACGTTTGTGTTTCGTGGTTGCTCATCTGCTGCTTACAACTAAATCTGTATTTAAAGTTAACCCTGATGTAGAATATAGTGTGAAACAATTGACATAATTGAATGAAAAGAATAGGGATGACAAAGGTTAGCAATCATATATATATATATATAAGCAAGAACAGGTCAGAGGTCATTTGGTGTGGATGATGAAATAATTGAAGATTTAAATGTATATAAAATAATAATTCCGTAATGGTAGAGCGATATAACAGACTACGCATTAACAAAATGACCCAAAAACTGAATTACCAAGGTAGTAATAGGTTTATTACTGTATCTTTTTGAATATGTAGATCAGGTTTGAGTTTTTTTACCTCAATGGCTTCGGCAAACCAAAGAGAAGCAGTATTTCTTTGTCTGTTATTAATTTTGAAAGATTAAGGAATGTCAATAGTATGCCCGGCATTTTCTAATTTGTATGTACGTGCCAAAGCACATACATTGAAAGGACCGAGAAAATAACTAAAAAATGTGATTTACCTTCTACTTTATGTTCCATAGTAAAATCAATATTGTTGTATGCTTTGTTAGACAGATCGAGCATGTTCATGGAATACTTATGATTGTTGCAGAGAAGAAATGTGACATAAATATATCTACAGTAGAGTGTAGTTCCATATACTGAGTGCTTGAGCTTCCTCTGTTTCAGGTTTCTCATAAATATATTGTCCAGAATTGAACCCGAAGTGCTATCCATGGCCACTATATCAATTTAGCGGTACAACACAATGCTAAATTGAAGTTGTATGTTTTTGATACACAGAAACAGGAGCTGTTCGAGTTTGTGGATTCTTAAGTGCAGAAATTTAGGATATTCACATATGATGTCTGACTTTCCTTCCAAAGGGATCTTTGTGAAGAGTGATGAGACATCAAACAAGACCATGAATTTATCGGAAGCATTTAGGCTATCAAGCTTTTGTACAATTTCGAAACTACCTTCAGACTGTAAGGTGCTAGTTCCTTACAAATTGGTTCTAAACACCTTGTCATCCATCAGACGAGTTTATAGAAGAGTGATCCAAAGTATGACAAAACCAACCTTCGAGTAAAATACGATACAGTTGAAAAGAAAACTTGCTTCTTATACTTGCGCTTCAAAGGAGATGAAATCACAAGATGAGTTCCACGTTAAGAGTGACTTACCCATCAAGAAAACTGATTACGTTAAGGGAAACGAATTACTCGCTCAAACAAACTAAAATGGACAGGTCCTCTTTTCTCAGAGGCTCCAACTGCATTTGCCAATTTATATGTACGTGCCAAAGCAAATACATTGGAAGAACCGAGAGAACAGTATATATCCTCATTTCCGAGCATGTCCCAAATAAATTGAGACTGCCAGTGGTAAGGGCTCTCAACAGTGCAATAGATAGGCATTAACTTGAAACCGGGCATACTATTGACATTCCTTAATCTTTCAAAATTAATAACAGACAAAGAAATACTGCTTCTCTTTGGTTTGCCGAAGCCATTGAGGTAAAAAAACTCAAACCTGATCTACATATTCAAAAAGATACAGTAATAAACCTATTACTACCTTGGTAATTCAGTTTTTGGGTCATTTTGTTAATGCGTAGTCTGTTATATCGCTCTACCATTACGGAATTATTATTTTATATACATTTAAATCTTCAATTATTTCATCATCCACACCAAATGACCTCTGACCTGTTCTTGCTTATATATATATATATATGATTGCTAACCTTTGTCATCCCTATTCTTTTCATTCAATTATGTCAATTGTTTCACACTATATTCTACATCAGGGTTAACTTTAAATAGATTTAGTTGTAAGCAGCAGATGAGCAACCACGAAATATAATGCAATTATATTCGCTTTGGCTTTATTTACTTCTGCACCTCGTTGAAGTAAAAGTGCGAATTAAATTAGTCCTAAGAGGAGGAAATTAAATCAATTTCACTGAACAAACAGTCGAAAATTTGAGTGCACTCACATTGAAATGCAATCAGATGTTAAGGTATTCAGAGTAACATATGCTTATTAAGGGCTAGTATCGCTGTTAAGAATCTTTAAATAGACGGAGAAAACAAGAACATAAAACGTAGTTACAAGAGGTCCGAATAAAAGTTAAGGTAAAAAGCACCAAAAAAGCAAACAAACAACAACACTGTCCAACAAAACACGTGAGAGGGATATTCCGCCGTGGGGTGAAAATATCACCGAGCCCTAGACAAATCATCCGGCAGTTGGATCATTGAATATCAGACGAATCATCGATTCCTGTCAAATTCAAGGACGACTAACGCTCATCAGTTAATCGTATGTCATGGACTGGCCCATGTGGTGGGGGTTTCACTATCTTCTCTGTACTCGTTCTAACTAATATATTTCCGTAGTAAGGTCCTTTCTGCTATACGGTTTTCAAAGCAGCCACAGCACTTTGATACGACGAAAGGGAAAACCTCGTCAAGTACTGACCTACACAGCGAAGTCGTCCCGTCATATCATCCGTCTAACAAATATGTTGAATTTACAGCCGTTGAATCTTTGAACGTAGGTTCGCAGTGGTTAAACGGATGTGTCAGAAATTAACAACGCTAATTTTGTTCAGCTATCTGGAAATAAATGCTAATGAAAATAAATATGACGAAGAAAAAACGTGTGAATTTGAATTGCAAGTGTCTGCTCATAATTTGCAATATAATTACGCGTCACTATGATTAATTACTCGAAAGTCTACTGCTTGAGACAGTGCATTATAGTCTGTAGAATGCAAGTAGGTTCACATAGATAACATAATATACTTTACACCAAATAGATCAGTCACTAGTGAATTAGAGCTTAAATATAAAAAAGGGTAAAATGACGATCTGTTAAAGAATTAGATTACCTAATATTTTTGGCCACTTCCATTGGAGTAGTTTCCCAGGCTTTTCCATCCACAATAGTTCCATCTGGTAGAGTGATCTGAACAGGTGAACGTGGTTGTGAAGCAACGAAACCATCATATTCCCTTTTCAGTTTATTCCATAACTCTTCACGATGTTTAATAAATTCAGGGGGAGGTGGTAATGACTTTTCGTTTAGTGCTACAGCTAAACCACACTGGTGATTACTGGCCTAGAAGTGAGTAAATATGTATTATGGAAATACGCTTAAATCTATAAAGATAATTAAACTACACCTACCAGACAAAGGAATTTATGCTATATACTAAGAAGAGACTAGATCAACTCTGATAAGACAAAAACTTAGCAACAAAATCCTGATCATTTCGACTGATTCGGAAACTACGAGTAAACTTGTGGTCCGAAGGCAACTGCAGACTGTATAGGAGTATGGCAGGAGAAAGTCATTTCACTTAGACAACCATTTCCAGTAAAACCATCTTCCGACGACAGGACGATTAGAAAGGGTCGAAGCTAGGAATAGTACACCTTATCTTGCCTCACGAATTTTCATTGGGGGCAGTAAAGCAATAAGTACAGAGCTAGCCCATCTAAAACCATTCGAAGAAAGAACGTGTGAGCAGCTTTAAGCAGTCATCGCTTGGACACTGTGATGGAAATTCCAGGTCGTCGAAACCACTCCTAGTTCGGTTGCTATTTGGGGTGCCTCAAGAAATATCCTGTCATGGCACAAAGAACTATGGAGTAACAACCCCTGTCACACCTGTAACAGGAATGGACTAGCAGTCACAGTACCAAAACGTATAAATTAGGCTAGCAATTCAATGTTCGTGCAGACTTCCAATATGCCTGATTAAATCTCAATCTTTCGAGATATTCCAAAATATAACCTCTTGGATACTCCATGAGATATTTTGAATTAGCAGTGTAAAAAATATTGATTTGTCCTTAATAAAATTCCGGTATGTTAAAAACATTTAAGATATTGCATTCGTACGTTCAAGTATACTTTTAAAAAATGTAACAATTTTCAAAAACCATTGGGATCGAGTTGTTAGGTAAGAACAGATATGTATGTTTAAAAATGACTTGTTTTCATGTAGAGATTTTATTTTTTTTCAGACTTCTAAGTTATTTTTCAAGGACAAAGGAGGCAAGCCAATCACTGAGATTCAAGAATAGAGTAAAAGATGGGTACAACACTTCAAGAAACTCTTGAATAGACCAGCTCTATTGAATCTATCGGATATCGAGGCAGCACCTATAGATCTTCCTATAGATGCCACTGAACCGACGATCGAAGAAATCAGGATGGTCATCAGACAAATCAAAAGTGAAAAGCAGCGGGACCTGACAATATACCAGCCGAAGCGCTGAAGTCAGACATAAAAGTAACTGCTAACATGCTTCACAGTCTATTCAGGAAGATTTGGGAGGAAGAACAAGTGCCGACAGACTGGGAAGGATACCTCATCAAGATACCAAAAGAGATGTGAGCAAATGTGAGAACTACGGAGTCATCACACTACTGTCAATACCAGGAAAGGTTTTCCACAGTGTTGCTGAACCGGATGAAAGACTCAGTAGACGCCCAACTTCGAGATCAACAGACCGGATTCCGTAAGGATCCGTCGTGCACAGACAAAATCGCAACACTACGGATCATCATTGAACAATCAATTGAATGGAACTCGTCATCATACACTGACTTCCTCGATTATGAGAAAGCATTTGACAGTGTGGACAGAACATTATGAAAACGTCGACACTATGGAGTGCCTGAGAAAATCGTCAACATCATACGGAATTCATAAGACGGACTACAGTGCAAATTCGTGCATGGAGGACAGCTGACAGACGCATTCCAAGTAAGGACGAGTCAAACAAGACTGATTACCCCTGATTGGATTATGTAGACCTCCACACCTCAAGAGAAGCACAGAATACAATCGACAACTTGGACGCTATTAGGCGATTTGGACGTCCCATGTGACCTAGCCCTTCTATCCCATACACACCAACATATGCAAGTGAAGACAGTGTGACAGCAGCATCTGCATCAATAGTTTTCAACATAGACAAGGAAAAAAGCAAGATCACAAATTAAAACGTGGAGAACACCAACCCTATCACACTTTATGAAGAAACTCTGGAATAGGCGGAAACTCATACCTGGTCAGCATCATCAACATACAAGGAAGATCAGATGCAGACGTACAGGAAAGGATTGGCAAAGCAAGGGCAGCATCCCTACAGTCGAACATATGGGACTCAAAACAACTGTCAACCAATATCTACAATACGAATGTTAAGATAGTTCTACTATACGGAGCTGAAACTTGGAGAACTGCCAAAACATCGTCAAAAAAGTACAAGTGTTTCTAAACAATTGTCTACGTAAGATACTGAATGTCCATTGGCCGGATACCATCAACAACAGCTTACTGTGAGAGAGGATAAACCAGATTCTAGCTGGAGAGGAAATTAGGAAAAGACGTTGGAAGTGGATAAGACATACATTACGGAAATCACCAAACTGTATCATGAGACAAGCCCTAACTTGGAATCCCGAAAGGAAACAAAAAAAAGGAAGACCAAAGAGCACACCGTCGAGAACTGGAAGCAGACATGAAGAGGATGAATGACAACTGAAAAATGATTACTCAGGACAGACTTGGAAGGAGAATGCTGGTGAGCGTCCAATGCTCCTACATGAAAAGTAACAGGAGTACGTTAGCTTACTGCACTGTTTTCGGGAAGGGCTAAAACACTAAACAATTTCAAAACCAGCGGTTGGCGAGACCATAATTTATGACGAACCAATCAGGTTCAGGATAACATCTTGTATTTCGGCGCGAAATTTATTCACCCATTTGGCTAAATAGAATCTTGGCATTATAGCTAATGTCAGTTCGTGATGAAAACCCTAAACCTAACTCCTAACCCTAACCATCAACTGTAAATCGTAATCCTTATTCTTTAAACTGCCTTAAATCCCTCATTTAGCCCTAGTAAGTAGGCAGACACTCTCACGGTCACTTTAGCCCCGTTCGATGGTCGCCCATAAATTATAGTCTCGCCGAACATTTTGTGAAATAACCAAGTTGATTGATACCCAACAGTAAATGTAACACATAGATTTCAACCTGAATTTAAAACTAAACAACAAACCAGAAATAAAAACCGAATGGCTGTCAATGCTAGAAGGAACTTTCCATTAATCACGATACCACAAATCAAGCAAAAACAACAGTCAACGTGAATACGAAGGCAAACTAAGACGACAAAACCTACAAACACAAACAACCACGAACAGGGCTGTCGAAATGAACCACTACAGCGCTGGTAGAACAGCTTCAAAGTTCACTAATACATGGGTTAAACGCTGAAAATGTTACCGAGAATGACAGTGAAAGCTCTGCAACTAAGCCAGCAAGGTCTCAGAACCCAGGAATACAAAAGTTTTCAACCGCAGTTGTGCTAGTTTTAAAGTCTCAACCGTAGAGGACTTAAACTAGTTCAACCTAAATATTGTGATTAACCCTACAATTTGAATAATTTTAAAACCAAAAACCAAACCAATGAAATACCGTTGGGAATCTATGTAAATCACCCAAGCAACCAAAGGCAACGCGGTTATGGGGGGAAAGTGCGAAATTTCTATCTTTTTATCGCTGTTTGAAATGTCGCTGAATTGTCTACTTATCTCACAAATTCACGCCGAATCGTCGACTTTTCGCCCAAATACAGTGCAGAGTCGATTCCCGAAATTCCTTGAGGGCCGATGTGAAAGAGAACTGAGTTTTCTTAACTCATGATTTAGTGAGGGAATGAAAGCAATAATAACACTGTAAAATTTACAACACCGAATAAATAACAATCATAATGATCGTCAATTATAATTGACGATTGTCAAACAGTCAGTTCATTGTTTTTAAATTTCTCCCTTAAAAATCAGTCGGTGAGATAATATTAGGAGTGGAAAAAAAACTAGAAAGAGTCAATATTATAACGCACCATCGTGTAACGACTGAACCACCTGTTTAACACGAGACTGGCAGCCCGGGCAACTGAATTCAATAAGGTCATACGATGATAACCTTGATCACGAAAGATTACAATGTCCAATGTGAGGAAACTTGTAGAAAGCTTCCTTGAACTCAATAACGATATAATATACAGATTTTCCGTTGTCTAGAGACTATAAAAACCTCACTAGAAATAGTTTTTGAAATAAACCACTCTCAATTCTAGGTTGTACACTGTTTAATAAGTGCTTTGTCGATTTCATTCCATGATTTATACAGTCGCATTCATCAGACCCATAGCATTAAATAACCCCTCGAAATAAAGAACGTTGTAAGCTATCGACATTGGTGCTGAGCGTTTTAGTTTTATTGAACATCCAAGGCCAGTTTAATGTCGCTGAACCCTAACTAAATCATCCGAGAGACTGGCCTGTTTCTTCACTGAATGAAAGGCCAATGAACGTTCAGAAGTTTACTGAAGATCACTAAAGGAACGGATGACCGACCCGAATTAGCCAGTTGCGTTTAATAAACTGATATATGTGGTGGTGTACGTCGGAATTTCCTAGGCTTTTCCTACAGTACACTACCTTGGTAAGATTGTGCTGGGTCTATATAGTTACTGGAGTGAACACGGTTTCTAGATATCAAGACACAGCAGTTCAGGTTAGATATTAACTTCTAGGTATGACATTGACGTAGGCGAAGTGATCACATTATTCTCACCCAACAAGAGTAGACCCATTATCTACATGGGTCACTTTCAAACATGCCACATATTTATCGGTAGACTTGTTTGGGTGTTTCACAGCCAATAAAGGTAAAAAAAAGGTTTCAAAAGATGCAGACGTTTGGTGTCTTCCTTAAAAATGGACAGGCACCTTGAACATGATCTTTAGGGATTAAGGACAAATTTGGTAGGTTATATTTGAAAAAGTACTTGAAATGATGCACAGAATGTGGGTTTAGTCTCCTTTTATTTAACCAACGAGGTAGTTTGTAGGAAAGGTGAGTGAGTTGTCGAAGTGAGTATTGAACGAGGCTATTTCCCTAAAAATAAAAAACGACGTTTAATATGCATCCACGCGCGCTTTTCGAACGGTAAGTTTAGTCCTAACGTGATTTGCATTTATCAAACTTTTGCTGTGTTCTTACGCAACAAAAGTACCATTTCAGTTCTAAAGAATCTATCCTGAGCTATACGTCTGGTAGATTACTTTTTTTTAGTTTCACCATATTTAATAGTTACCGGTGGTTTTGCCTCAGCTTACTATTCGGTTTTTTTGTTTTTCACGTATAGACTAGCTTCAGTTTATATCACTCGTTTTATCCATTTTTGTCCGTTTTCAGTGTGCTTTTTAGTGTTTTTTAAAGGTCTTAGGCTTTTGCAAGCATCTATAACATAGTTTGCTTCAGCATAGTCATGAAAAACTCATGCAAACGTCCGGGATGTCGTTTTGCTGTTACAACTGGCAGGCAGTGCGACAACTGCAAAGGTTGGTTCCACGAAGCATGCACAGATCTGACAGCAACTGCTTACAACAGACTCAGCAAGTCAGACCAAAAGTGGGTATGTGTCACGTGCAGCACGGACACTGGAATCTTGCTGAGTAACATCATTGTCCTACTGACAGGTCTTCGGAATAAGTTGTCAGTTAACTTGGATAACGATAGAAAAAGCCGGTAGACAAACAAGAGCGTGCGACGGATACAAAAATAGGGATGTCGACAGGTATACCATCGATGGAGCATCCATCAACACTAATGATGACTTGTCGAGGCTCAGCACCATCATTACGTCGACGGTATTAGACTCCCTAAGCAAACTCGGGTCTCCCAGCTCAGGGTCCCTGAACACAACAGTGGTTCCCCAAAACCCTGTAGGTGATTCGACCCACGTTAAGAGAGCCCAAAGGAACCAGGCATCACCGCCTAAACCGAGAAACCCAAGTGTTGCTGTACGGAAAATAACTGGTGATTTGGTCTCACAGTCTACCCCCAAGACTGTTCGTCCGGTCAATAAAGAGCCCAAGACTCGAAAACGCGCACTGACCTCCAAACAACAAGTTATTAAACCTGAACCCATCGTGAAACCTGATAAATTAACGACAGTTCGTGACGATTCTCTCATTATCATGAACCTCGTTGACAATCCTGACCTTCCTCTCAGTCTGCAGGACAAAAATGACAGGATGCTCTTGGGTGAATTGAACAAGAATCTCGAACTTCCTAGAATAGAGCCTTTGACGGTCACCCGGCTCACTCGAGGAAAGGATTCTAAGCATCTAAATCAGCCGAGGCTTCTCCGAGTAACACTTAAGAATGCTACCGACGTAGAGAACGTCTTGCTAGCAAGTCACTTGCTGAAATCTGACTGTAACGTAAGGATATTGCCCGACATACCGTACTCTGAGCCCAATATCATACGGAACATCCCTAAAGAATCTCGCGAGATGATTTTCCGCGGAAGAAACGTAATTGTGCAAGGTATACCGGAAAATGCAGACCCTACTCAATCAAATTCTGACATCAGGGGATGGAAATTCATCAAACAGTCCTTGAGGCTCAAACACATACTGACTCAGCATGTGATGAGACTAGCCAAGAAGGACGGTGATCTTAGACCCTGTCTAATGAAGATAACCTTCCCATCTTCCCACATGGCGGCTGCAGTTCTGGAAGCATTTCGTGCCAACAGACGTCGATTGCCACCTGGAATCCACATGCACCCGGATAGGCCATACGAAGCTAGGACCAAGAACAAAGGCAAGTTGGAGCTGACCATTCCACGTTTGGACTGTCTAAACGATAAAAAAACGTGTAAAGGACAGGGCCTACCACCTCGGCAAACCTCATATAGGTGGGCTACCTGTCCATTCACATAAGGCTCATAAAGAAAAACAGGACGAAGCTCACGCGTTCCAAATTGAAAGCATAAACTGCTAATATATGAACGCTGCGAGTCTACCAAACAAACTGGATGAATTACGTGAACTTAGCAATGCTAACAAGGCCCATCTGATAGGAATATCTGAAACCTGGATATCTTCTCAGTTCTCGGACCAAGAGTTAGCATTACCTGGGATGATTTTGTTCCGCAACGACAGAAAAACAGGAATTGGGGGCGGAGTAGCCATATACATAAGCTCTTGCTTGGGGGTGCACCAAGTTCACAACCTCGAGTTTAACAATCTTGAGGAATCCATATGGTGCTCTGTAAGATTGTCAAGTACTTCGAGGTGTTTAGTCGGAGCCATTTACAGGAAGCCAACTGCTGACATCGAGTACGATAGTCGTACGTTGGAAGGACTATCCCGCTCTATCCGTCTCGGTTTCACACACATCCTGATTCTAGGGGACTTTATTCTCCCTAAAGTCAACTTCGCGGAACACACGTACACTGGAGGCGACAACTCAATTGAAGCTCGGTTCTTCAACCTCATCGATGACTTGGGCTTATATGAAAATGTGAGGTCGGCAACTCGTTGGAGAAAGTCAGACACCATCGCGCTTAGACTGTGTATTCACAAACGAAGAATTCCTAGTTGACAACCTCTCAATCCTGGCTCCTCTGGGAAAGAGCGATCATGCCGTCATAGCCTTCAGTTTTGTCATCAAAACTAAGCTAAGGTATTCCAACAATAATTTGCGTTGAAATTTTAAACGGCTGAATGTGCCAGGTCTACATGACTATCTACAACAGGTGGTTTGGGATGTTCACCCTCAACTCGATGTAGACGGTCATTGGGACTTCTTACTGCACACGCTCTTATGTGTTACAAACCATTCAGTTCCTCAAACGGTTCCCAAAAGCTGCAAGCCACCTACAGTAATCAAGGACCGTACTCTTCGCCTGCTAAGCCGCAAAAGGGCTGCAATTAAACGCAACTCAATTTCGTAAATGTGCCCTTCAGCTTAGCAACCAATCAGAATGAGGCGGGAATTATTACATCCGCCATCTTCGTAAACAATGGCGGTCGGCCTTCTTCGTTCTGTGCTTCTTTCAGCTATTTCTTTTGTGTAGCTACGGAATTTGATGTTTCAGTGTGCTAAAATCCAGAAGTTAGTGTAATACTCTGAACGTTGGAGCAACGTTTTTCCTGATTTTTCTTTGTTTTCTGGGTTTTACCTGCTGCTAATGAAGTCACTGCATTTATTCAGCTAAGCTGGCTAGTACTAACATAAGACCTTACGTTTTCAAACGACAATCGGTTATGTTTTACCTTGTTTTCTAGATATCCGAAGCCGAAGTTCGTTTTCATTTAGCTAAAATAATTGTTGCTGCCTCCTGTGACTCTAAGTGTTAGCATTTTCGTTCCTAACTGTCCTTTATAATGTTATCGGCAAAATGAAAGGAAACAGTCTGCGTTTTTTAAATTTTCTTCAGTATTATGGACAACACTATCCCACCAACGAGTCAAACTAATACAGAGTGCCCAGCAGTAGGGTATATCGGTACTGATTTCGAAAGGACCCAGACTTCCGACAACTATAGATGAAGTCACAGATGCTACCAATCTATTGCAGAGGGTTTGTTATGAAAAATATGCCATATAGCAGTAATAGAGGGGTTGTACTCATTACTCAGTGCGTTAAAGCAAGCTTAACATTGAAAAGCCGGAAATCTGCTTCCAGTGTCTAGTGTATGTTTGCTGTTTTGGCCGTAAAAGGAAGCTGAAAGGTCATGATCAGGGAGTAAAAAAGTAATAAACTGTTATTAAGCTCACTTTTTTATAGATTATATTTCACCACTCGCAAATTTGTGTTTTTTTACGGTATGATGTCAACTGGTACCTAATATGTTCACCCTCACGATGAAAAGTACCTGCAAATTTTCACCTCCATATTCGAATTATTTTCGGACAACTGTCTTACAGTCTGAGTGCTTCGTACGCCCCGAGAAACTCTATTCCAGTATAACTTTCTCACGCAGTAAGTTCAAATTAGACACTAGTCTTTCTAAATAAGGCTGTTAATCTAATATCCATATTCTCTATTTCAGTTAATCGATGAAGACATGTACCACGTGCATCTGCTGTATACTGCTATTTTACTCCAATT